TGTTATACATCCTTAACGAATTTTTCATAAATTTTAAACACAACCCAATTTTATATCAGTTTTGCTTCAATTTTGCACTAATTTTACATCGATTTTGAGTAAAACAAGAAAAATATTGCGTAATTTCATATCACAACCCCGTTTTAATTCAAATTCATCTCATAAATATTAAATTTTGTGTGATTTTACATTAAATTTGCATTGATTTTACTTCGATTTTACACTATTTATAAGAAATAATCGAAGTTAATTAGATTACTAAGTGTTTGTTATAGATCCTTAAGGAATTTTTCATAAAATTTGAACACAACCCAATTTTATACCAGTTTTACTTCAATTTTGCATTAATTTTACATCGATTTTGAGTAAAACAAGAAAGATTTTGAGTTATTTTTATATCACAAACCTGTTTTAATCCATATTCATCTCATAAACTTAAATTTTATGGGATTTTACATAAATTTTACATTTATTTTACTTCGATTTTACATCATTTTAAAAGATAATTGAAGTAAATTGCACTACAAAGTGTTTGTTATACATCCTTGACGAACTTTTGATAAATTTTGATTATCAGTTTTTTTTATATCAGTTTTACATCTATTTTGCATTAATTTGACATCAATTTTGAGTAACATAAACCAGATTTGGAGTTAATTTCATATCAAAAACCCATTTTAATTCATATACATCAGCTAAACATTAAATTTTGTTAGATTTTACATTAAATTTGCATTGATTTTACTCCGATTTTGCTTCATTTATAAGATATAATTAAAGTAAATTGGATTGCAAAGTGTTTGTTATATATTATGGAGGAACTTTTCATATTATACCAGATTTACTTCAGTTTTGCATTAATTTTACATCGATTTTGAGTCATTTTCATATCACAAACCCAATAATTTCCCGATTTAACTTATATTCATTACATTTACATTAATTTTACCTTGATTTTACTTCGATTTTACATCATTTATAAGAAATAATTGAAGTAACCTGAATTACAAAGTGTTTATTGCACATCCCTGAAAAACCTTTAAACCCTATTTTATATCAATTTTACATAAATTTTACATCGACTTTTACTCAAATAAAAAAATGTTGAGTGTTTTTCCCATTTTAATTCATATTCATCACATTAAAGTCATTTTGTGAGATTTTACATTAAATTTACATTAATTTTACTTCGATTTTACCATAATTAATAAAAAATAATTTAAGCAACCTTAGTTACAAAGTATTTTTTGCACATCTTTGAATATCTGTTCATAAATTTTAAACCCAACCCAATTTCATATCAATTTTACTTCAATTTTACTTAATTTTACATCGACTTTGAGTAAAATAAAGATTTTGAGTCATTTTCATATTAAAACCCATTAATATCCCGTTTTAAGTCATACTCATCACATAAATATCAAATTTGGTGTGATTTTACATTAAATTTGCATTGATTTTACTTTGATTTTACATCATTTATAAGCAATAATGAGTGTAACCTCAACTACAAAGTGTTTATTATACATCCTTAAGGAACTTTTCATAAATTTTAAACACAACCTAATTTCATATCAATTTTGCATTAATTTTACATCGATTTTGAGTAAAACAAATAAATTTTGAGTCATTTTTTATATCATAAATCCAATTATTTCCCTTTTTAATTCATACCCATCACAAAAACATCAAATTTGGTTGGATTTTACATTATATTTGCATTGATTTTACATCATTTATAAGCAATAATCAGTGTAACCTCAAATACAAAGTGTTTATTATACATCCTTAAGAAACTTTTCATAAATTTTAAACACAACCTAATCTCATATCAATTTTGCATTAATTTTACATCGATTTTGAGTAAAACAAATAACTTTTGAGTCATTTTTTATATCATAAATCCAATTATTTCCCTTTTTAATTCATACCCATCACAAAAACATCAAATTTTGTGGGATTTTACATTAAATTTGCATTGATTTTACTTTAATTTTACATCATTTATAAGCAATAATGAGTGCAAGCTCAACTACAAAGTGTTTATTATACATCCTTAAGGAACTTTTCATAAATTTTAAACTCAACCTAATTTCATATCAATTTTGCATTAATTTTACATCTATTTTGAGTAAAACAAATAAATTTAGAGTCATTTTTTATATCATAAATCCAATTATTTACCTTTTTAATTCATACCCATCACAAAAACATCAAATTTGGTTGGATTTTACATTAAATTTGCATTGATTTTACATCATTTATAAGCAATAATCAGTGTAACCTCAAATACAAAGTGTTTATTATACATCCTTAAAGAACTTTTCATAAATTTGAAACACAACCTAATTTCATATCAATTTTGCATTAATTTTACATCGATTTTGAGTAAAACAAATAACTTTTGAGTCATTTTTTATATCATAAATCCAATTATTTCCCTTTTTAATTCATACCCATCACAAAAACATCAAATTTTGTGGGATTTTACATTAAATTTGCATTGATTTTACTTTAATTTTACATCATTTATAAACAATAATGAGTGTAACCTCAACTACAAAGCGTTTATTATACATCCTTAAGGAACTTTTCATAAATGTTAAACACAACCTAATTTCATATCAATTTTGCATTAATTTTACATCGATTTTGAGTAAAACAAATAAATTTTGAGTCATTTTTTATATCATAAATCCAATTATTTCCCTTTTTAATTCATACCCATCACAAAAACATTAAATTTGGTTGGATTTTACATTAAATTTGCATTGATTTTACTTTGATTTTACATCATTTATAAGCAATAATGAGTGTAACCTCAAATACAAAGCGTTTATTATACATCCTTAAAGAACTTTTCATAAATTTGAAACACAACCTAATTTCATATCAATTTTGCATTAATTTTACATCGATTTTGAGTCATTTTTTATATCATAAATCCAATTATTTCCCTTTTTAATTCATACCCATCACAAAAACATCAAATTTTGTGGGACTTTACATTAAATTTGCATTGATTTTACTTTAATTTTACATCATTTATAAGCAATAATGAGTGTAACCTCAACTACAAAGTATTTATTATACATTCTTAAGAACTTTTCATAAATTTTAAAAACAACCAAATTTCATATCAATTTTGCATGAATTTTACATCGATTTTGAGTACAACAAAAAAGATTTTGAGTCAGAATCATATCATAAACCCATTAATTTCGCGTTTTAATTCATATTCATCACATATACATTAAGATTTGTGATATTTTATATTAATTTTACCTTAATTTTGCTTCTATTTTACATCATTTATAAAAAACAACTTAAGTAACCTGGATTACTAAGTGTTTATTATCCATTCTTGAACAATTTTTCATAAATTTTTAACACAACCCAATTTTATACCAATTTTGCATTAATTTTACATCGATTTTGAGTAAAATAAAAAAAATTTTTTAGTTATTTTCATATCAAAACCCATTAATTTTCCGTTTTAACTCATATTCATCACATTAACATTAAATTTTGTAGGATTTTACATAAATTTTACCTCAATTTTGCATCAATTATAAGAAATAATTTGTGTAACCTGGATACGAAAGTGTTTATTACACATTCTTGAAGAATTTTCTATTTATTTTTAACACAACCCAATTTTACATCAATTTTGCATTAATTTTACATCGACTTTGAGTAAAATAAGAAAGATTTTGAGCCATTTCATATCACAACCTCGTTTTAATTCAAATTCATCTCATAAATATTAAATTTTGTGTGATTTTACATTAAATTTGCATTGATTTTACTTCGATTTTACTCTATTTATAAGAAATAATCGAAGGTAATTAGATTACTAAGTGTTTGTTATACATCTTTAAGGAATTTTTCATAAATTTTGAACACAACCCAATTTTATATCAGTTTTACTTCAATTTTGCATTAATTTTACATCGATTTTGAGTAAAATAAGAAAAATTTTGCGTCATTTCATATCACAACCCCGTTTTAATTCACATTCATCTCATAAATATTAAATTTTGTGTGATTTTACATTAAATTTGCTTTGATTTTACTCCGATTTTACATCATTTATATGAAATAATCGAAATTAATTACATTACAAAGTGTTTGTTATACATCCTTAAAGAATTTTTCATAAAATTTGAACACAACTCAATTTTATACCAGTTTTACTTCAATTTTGCATTAATTTTACATCGATTTTGAGTAAAACAAGAAAAATTTTGCGTCATTTTCATATCAAATTCCATTATTTTTACCATTTTAATGCATATCCATCATATAAACATTAAATTTTGTATGATTTTACATAAATTTTACCTCGATTTTACTTCAATTTTACATAATTTCTAAACAATCAATAAGTAAGCTTAGTTACAAAGCATTTAATCACACATCTTTGATTAACTTTTCATAAATCGCACTTTCATATCGATTTTACATCAATTTTACCTCAATTAAAAACAAATTTTATATAATTTTACATTAATTAATTCCCCCCCTCAGATATTTACGTTTCAAAACGTTCCCGGTGATACTCTTTACCACCAATCACCTCGTAAACGTTTTTGCTTTAAACTTTGACGTTATTTTCACATCTATTTGGACAGTGTTAGAAACAATTTTACATCTCGCAAAGAAAAACTCGAAACAACACCCATCCCTTTCACAAAAACCGATTTCCACCCTCCATCCACCTGTAGATGAGCATTCCCGATCAATAACGACCCCCCGAAACCCGACAAGACTCCCACTCGGCCAACAAAACTCGTTTTATACATAAAATCACAATCATTTTACACCGTTTTTCATAGAAATCCAATAGTTTTGCAGTTTTTACTTCAAAAATAACTTATTTTTTGATTAAAAGAATTCGTACGGTGCTATTTTTAGATCCCGTTTTGGTTTGGAACTCGATTTATTCAATTCAACGCGATTAAAAATATAATTAAAATTAAAGTAAAATATTTACTTACCTTATATATTCTATGGAAAGACTTATTGCGTCACGTAGGTTGAATATCGTCCTTTCGGTGTCCACGCCACGCTCTTCCGGCGTCGTTTTCGCCTTCTCTTCCGGTCGAGACATGTAAAACCATTGTCTGCGCGCCATTTCGTTAATAAACAATTCCGGTACCAGTTTGTAAACGATATCTTGAAGCGTTTTATCCAACCTTAAAATTAAATATAAAAAATTATTCATTTTACCGATTTTGTTACTATAAATAACATCTTCAGGGATTCGCCGGATAAATTCAACGGATTCTTTTATTTTAATCACGCTTTTATCGTGCAATCTAACAATATTAAGAAGTGTGAGAACTTATAGACTGAAATTCCTGTTAAGTTCTTCTACAAGGTAGCACTCCTCTAGATTTGTCGACAAAGTATATACTCAAGGCAAGCCAACGTGGCCAATTAAGCGAATTCACTATATAAGTATGGATTAGGTAAGGTTAGGAATGTAGCAGAAGAAGATTCGGGGATAAAATTGTTGGGAAATTGAAGTGTGGGTTGCATCTTTCTTAAAAATATGTTATTACTCCCTTAGATTACCACAACTATTTGTATAACAATGTCGAAATGTTCTATTCTCTGTTTGAAAGAATGAAATCTAGGTCGTTTGCGGCCGAAGCTCTACCTGAACTTTCTTATAACATTGAGAAACTCAAATTTAGAACACACTATGTCTCATGACTAATAAAAATAATATACCGCTGGATTATTTTATAATAACTCTTGATGCTAAGATGCTACAATTTTTGCAAAAGGCGACAAATGTCAATTCTGCTAAATACAAGATACACATCAAAAAGACATGGTTCGACACCAACTGGACAAAAACACTACGGCGTTTAGAAGCTCTATAGAGCCATGCTTAACGACTTTCTTTTTCCTCAATTGGATGAATTGGGATTATAGAACATGTGGTTCCAACAAGATGGAGCAACGGTACATAGTGGAGTTTTTTTGAAGTCATGAGTTAAGAGAATATCAAAATGCGAAAACCTATCGTTGAGAATTCTGTCAAGAATAATGGAAATAAATTCTGGCAGCGGCCGATATCATTTCTTCGACTTAATGATAAAAAATAAGACATCAAATAAACATAATCCAAAAGCACAACCAAAGTTTTTCGTTCATAAAAAAATACAGCCAAAGAACATCGTGTTACAAGAAAGATAAGAAAATATTTTTATACAGTTGTGAAGTTATGATTGATTTTTTGACGTTTTCGCTTTATATCTAGAAAATGGCGAAAGCTCGAATAAAACTTTGTTATGAAAATGGCGAAAGCTCGAATAAAACTTTGTTATGAATTAAACTTTATTGCTTCAATATCAACAATTTTCATACAAAACATTTTCTTCCAGCGGTTCTAGTTTTGAAGTTACGATTGATTGACATTTTCGCTTTATTATACATGTTATATTAAGTTACATACAGGGTGGTTCAGTTTTTAATCGGGAAACTTTACTACGATGTAGTACTTACCAATATAACACAAGTTTTTTTATATAAACATAGGGTCGCAACTCTTTTGTTTTCGAGCTATGAGCGCTCAAAGTTGAGCCAAACATTTTGTTTTGTATTTCGGCTGTAAGTAAACCGTAGAATTTGAAACTTTGCACGTATTTCCTTCTTTTCAGGCATATCTTAAACTTCCCTAGCGCCTTCTAAGGGATTGAAATTCACCACCCCTTGATTTTTTTTATAAGAACTTTTTACCGCTATGGAATATTAACATAACAAAATATGGGTTGTAAAGCTCATTCTTTAGTGGTACTTTTTTGTCTCTTTAGTATTTTCCATAAATTTAATAGTTTGCGTGTAAAAAAATAAAATATACTACATTGTACTGTAAAGCTCTGCTTTATATCTAGAAAATGGCGCAAGCTCGAATAAAACTTTGTTATGAATTAAACTTTATTGGTTCAACATCAACAATTTTCCTACAGAAAATTTTCTTCCAATGGTTCTAATTTTGAAGTTATGATAGATTTTTTGACATTTTTGATGTTTTCGCTTTATATCTAGAAAATGGCGAAAGCTCGAATAAAACTTTGTTGTGAATTAAACTTTATTGGTTCAATATCAACAATTTTCATACAGAAAATTTTCTTCCAATGATTTCAGTTTTGAAGTTATGATAGATTTTTTGACATTTTTGACGTTTTCGCTTTATATCTAGAAAATGGCGAAAGCTCGAATAAAACTTTGTTATGAATTAAACTTTATTGCTTCAACATCAACAATTTTCATACAGAAAATTTTCTTCCTATGGTTTTAATTTTGAAGTTATGATAGATTTTTTGACATTTTTGACGTTTTCGCTTTATATCTAGAAAAATGCGAAAGCTCGAATAAAACTTTGTTATGAATTAAACTTTATTAGTTCTATATCAACAATTTTCCTACAGAAAATTTTCTTCCAATGGTACTAGTTTTGAAGTTATTATAGATTTTTTGACGTTTTCGCTTTATATCTAGAAAATGGCGAAAGCTCGAATAAAACTTTGTTATGAATTAAACTTTATTGCTTCAATATCAACAATTTTCCTACAGAAAATTTTCTTCCAATGGTTCTAATTTTGAAGTTATGATAGATTTTTTGACATTTTTGACGTTTTCGCTTTATATCTAGAAAATGGCGAAAGCTCGAATAAAACTTTGTTATGAATTAAACTTTATTGCTTCAATATCAACAATTTTCATACAGAAAATTTCCTTCCAATGGTTCTAATTTTGAAGTTATGATAGATTTTTTTACATTTTTGACGTTTTCGCTTTATATCTAGAAACTGGGGAAAGCTCGAATAAAACTTTGTTATGAATTAAACTGTATTGCTTCAATATCAACAATTTTCATACAGAAAATTTTCTTCCAATGGTTCTAATTTTGAAGTTGATAGATTTTTTGATTTTTTTGACGTTTTCGCTTTATATCTAGAAAATGGCGAAAGCTCGAATAAAACTTTGCTATGAATTAAACTTTATTGCTTCAACATCAACAATTTTCATACAGAAAATTTTCTTCCAATACTTTCAGTTTTGAAGTTATAATAGATTTTTTGACATTTTTGACGTTTTCGCTTTATATCTAGAAAATGGCGAAAGCTCGAATAAAACTTTGTTATGAATTAAACTTTATTGCTTCAATATCAACAATTTTCCTACAGAAAATTTTCTTCCAATGGTTCTAATTTTGAAGTTATGATAGATTTTTTGACATTTTTGACGTTTTCGCTTTATATCTAGAAAATGGCGAAAGCTCGAATAAAACTTTATTATGAATTAAGCTTTATTGGTTCAATCTCAACAATTTTCATACAAAACATTTTCTTCCAGCGGTTCTAGTTTTGAAGTTACGATTGATTGACATTTTCGCTTTATTATACATGTTATATTAAGTTACATACAGGGTGGTTCAGTTTTTAATCGGGAAACTTTACTACGATGTAGTACTTACCAATATAACACAAGTTTTTTTATATAAACATAGGGTCGCAACTCTATTGTTTTCGAGCTATGAGCGCTCAAAGTTGAGCCAAACATTTTGTTTTGTATTTCGGCTGTAAGTAAACCGTAGAATTTGAAACTTTGCACGTATTTCCTTCTTTTCAGGCATATCTTAAACTTCCCTAGCGCCTTCTAAGGGATTGAAATTCACCACCCCTTGATTTTTTTTATAAGAACTTTTTACCGCTATGGAATATTAACATAACAAAATATGGGTTGTAAAGCTCATTCTTTAGTGGTACTTTTTTGTCTCTTTAGTATTTTCCATAAATTTAATAGTTTGCGTGTAAAAAAATAAAATATACTACATTGTACTGTAAAGCTCTGCTACTATTAAATTTTTTTGTCCGCTGTAAATAATGTTGCTTCTAAAATTTCGAAAAGGAATGATGGGAAAAAAATTCTACCTACGCCACTGAATTCTTCGTAAAAAGTTGCCATATAATGTTTTATATTATGCTGTTCGAAGTTTAAGCCGAAAACTTTTGCATTTTCTCGAAAAACGAGATCATGACATGTAAGCTACTTTTTTTCTATCTCTTTTAGTTTCGGAGATAGCCTATGCGGACAACGAAATAGGGACACCCTGTACAACCTAAGTTATAACACATAATGTCGAACCTCGTTCGCAAACAACTTCGGCTCTAGTATAAATTTAGCAGAGGTTGGTTGAAAACTGGTGCCTCGGCCGCAAACGACCTCGACTTAAAAAGATAAAACCGTCCATTTCTTTTTTAAGTTAAACGAACAATGTACAGGGTGGGCCAAATTGGACACTTTTAAAGAGAAACTCCTCTTTCCATAAGAGATAGAGGAAAAATGATATCACTATCTGAGGCTCGATTTTTATAAGAAACTTAATAACAAAAACCGCATATCGATATCTCTTACGGTTTCAGAGATACAGGGTGTTTTTAAAAAAAATGCATTTTCGAAAAGTCGTCATAATTTTTTTGTTATTGAAAACATTTCCAAAGCAACTTTTTATGTAGAATTCGATTAAATAAATTAACTTTCCCCCAAAGCAATATTTTAGTAATTATTGACATAAAAATGAATTTTTTATAGCACGCTTGATAATTCGTTCAGTTCAAGTCTTCTTTGAAATATACAACTTTAAAACTTACATGTGCAGAAAAGTAGACTTTGGAAATAAAATAAAAACGAAATTATATTTATAAGTAGTATCAAGATAGTTGGTTACAATGAATTAAAACATAAATTCGTATCTCAAAAACCGTAAAAGATATCGATATGCGGTTTTCGCCATTAAGTTTCTTATAAAAAGTGAACCTTAGCTTGAAGTGGCTAGAAAACTGGGGCCTCGGCCTCAGGCGAACTCGGCTTAATAAGATAAAACCATCCATTGATAACCGATTTTCAATGCAAATTATGATAATTTGGTAGCGTTTTTCAAGCGCCAATCTATTCATGATGATTTGCCAGAGTATACTGATCATCAGGGCACGGAACTTTTGTAACAAAACGATTTCCCCCCTCCACTCGTTCTAAGAAAATCTTGATTAAAAGAACACCATACTGTTCAGTGGGAAATTAAAATTTCAAGTTAGAAAGAAATTGTGTTAATAAAAATTGTTCCTGAAACAATTCTAAACAAACTTTGTCAACAATTTTTTTTGATTTAATCAATAATTAAGGAGATAACCTCGAAATAATAATTTTTCCGTTTTTATACATAAATGCTTAATTAATAGAGATGTAAATTTTTTTTATTAACATAATTGATTCAAAATCGAAATTGAAACAAATTTTATTTAANACTTTATTGCTTCAATATCAACAATTTTCCTACAGAAAATTTTCTTCCAATGGTTCTAATTTTGAAGTTATGATAGATTTTTTGACATTTTTGACGTTTTCGCTTTATATCTAGAAAAAGGCGAAAGCTCGAATAAAACTTTGTTATGAATTAAACTTTATTGCTTCTATATCAACAACTTTCATACAGAAATTTTTCTTCCAATAATTCTAGTTTTGAAGTTATAGATTTTTTGAAATTTTTGACGTTTTCGCTTTATATCTAGAAAATGGTGAAAGCTCGAATAAAACTTTGTTATGAATTAAACTTTATTGCTTCAATATCAACAATTTTCCTACAGAAAATTTTCTTCCAATGGTTCTAATTTTGAAGTTATGATAGATTTTTTGACATTTTTGACGTTTTCGCTTTATATCTAGAAAATGGCGAAAGCTCGAATAAAACTTTATTATGAATTAAGCTTTATTGGTTCAATCTCAACAATTTTCATACAAAACATTTTCTTCCAGCGGTTCTAGTTTTGAAGTTACGATTGATTGACATTTTCGCTTTATTATACATGTTATATTAAGTTACATACAGGGTGGTTCAGTTTTTAATCGGGAAACTTTACTAGGATGTAGTACTTACCAAAATAACACAAGTATTTTTATATAAACATAGGGTCGCAACTCTTTTGTTTTCGAGCTATGAGCGCTCAAAGTTGAGCCAAACATTTTGTTTTGTATTTCGGCTGTAAGTAAACCGTAGAATTTGAAACTTTGCACGTATTTCCTTGTTTTCAGGCATATCTTAAACTTCCCTAGCGCCTTCTAAGGGATTGAAATTCACCATCCCTTGTTTTTTTTTATAAGAACTTTTTACCGCTATGGGATATTAACATAATAAAATATGGGTTGTAAAGCTCATTCTTTAGTGGTACTTTTTTGTCTCTTTAGTATTTTCTTTCCAAAAATATAGCACGCTTGATAGTTCGTTCAAGCCTTCCTTGAAATATGCAACTTTAAAACTGACATGTGCAGATTTTGAAAAAATAGGCTTTGGAAATAAAACAAAAACGAGATTATATTTATAAGTAGTATCAAGATAGTTGAAATTAATAAGACGCTGTGCCCATGTATACGAATTGCAGTGGTTGAAAATAGCAGCCCTACTCACATACGCTTCATCTGTCCAAATACAATTTAAAGAAAGATTGTGTGCTTGGTTACATTTTCCCAAGAACCAATGGAATTCTGGTCTGAGGTAATGGGCTTTGTTGGTTGTGGACGAGACACTGCTTTATATTGTATCATCAAAGTGGTATGAAAACTGGGGCCTGGAAAACTGATGATTTCCCAGAGTATACTGATCATAAATATTAAAAAGTGTGAGCAGTATGACAATTCGTTTGACAGTTAACCCTTTCGTAAGTTCTATTTGGCTTAAAAAAACACCCTCTAGTACACATGAGTTACACAATCTAATCATAACAACCACATCTACTCCATATTATAAGCAAAAATGTCCAACAACCCAACAAGTTTATAGTTTGTACTTAAAGATTCTGCACCTACAGAGTTGATATATGCAGAATCAAATAGCATAGCTGCTTCAGCGTCAAAAAACACTATTCAACATGGAAAACATGGAAGAACTACCAAGTCTTAAATGTAAATAACAACACTATTTCAATGACGTGGCTGGTATTAGTTTGAAAAACGATTTTTTGAATCGATTTCTCGATTATTTGAGCAAATATATCATTAACAAATTTGGAACTATCTAAATAGGCAGTGTGACGTATACCAGCCAACAAAAGTTAACGTACAGCGAAAACTGCAGGTTTTTATTGCCTTTGCATACTAAATTAAGTTATGCTTTAAATATGATTTATTGGCACCACATAATTGCACTTCAGAACGCACATCTAAGCTAAATGAGAAACAAAACGTCGCATTATTAAAGAAGTGCAGCAAAATCCAAAACTTAGATTCAAAAATTGCAAAGAACGACCAGGAAAGGATTCAGAAAACCATTTGTAATGATACTGTGTGCAAAATTTTGAAGAAAACTTGCACTTTAAAACAAGTTTTTACACAAGTTTCTTAAATAATACTTATTCAAGATCAATATGGCCAAAAAATTTGATATAACACCTTAAAAGTCATCAAAGACAACTAAAACTTCACAAATTATAACATAACCTCAAAAAAAATTATTTTCAAATAACTATACTTACTTGATATTAGGTTTAGCCTTATTAATAATCATCTCGCATACCGGACAATGACTATTTTCTTGAAGAAACTGAATAATGCAGCTTCGACAAACTAAAAAAAGAAATTAAAAAAGCGTTTTTAAATCAATTCTTTTAGATAAAGTTAAACTTAAACTTACAGGAATGCAAACACTCCGAAATCGTCGTAGCATCGATAAAATACCCCTGGCAGAGTTTACAAGTGATGTACTCGTTGATTTCGACCAATTTAATCTTATCCTGTTTCACATTCGGCAGCGGATCCATCATCTTCAACACCTTTTCGCCTTTCCTTTCTTTTTAACGAAAAAAAGAACCCTGAAATCATCGAAAAATCGAATCAAACTTTTTAAAGTGGCAAGAAAAGGAGAAAGAAACGAGAAGAAAAAGACCGAGAAAGAAGTCCGCCGCTTTGTGTTGGGAATAATTTTTGTTCCGTAGAGAAAAGAGCGAAAAAGAAGATGTTTTACCGGTCGGCGATGGACGGAGAGAGAAAATCGAAGGGAAAAGGGAATATACAACCCTCGGTGTGAGTTTTCGGAACGGTTTAAAGATAGATTTCGACCTTGGGTGGACAAAAAATGTTATAACCTCACATTTATTTTATTTTAACAAATTATTTTTATAAATTAAACCAATTTTTTTTTAACCGCGTTTATTTTAGGTTAAAAAAAAATTATTTGACATTTGACAAGCGTCAAAATCGAAATTTTAACAAAAATATTTAATTTAATCAAACGCATACCTTTAATCGTTATTCACACGAAAACACCCGTCGAATCCATTTAATCCCTTTGAAAACTCGCGAAAAAACCATCAACAACAACCACTTATTTCGACCAATTCTTTTGACAACACCACTTTTATTCACTTGTTTCTAATATTTTTTTAATTATTTTCTAAGCCAACTTCACGCCGTTGTTGGCGCTCGCCCCCTATTTCTAACACACATAACCTCAAACTCACGACATTTCACACATAATACACAACAATACACTTCTTCTTGTGATATTTTAATAGAAACTCAACTAAATTTCACTTTTACTTAACGCGACGTGTTTCGTTCGAAACATAACCTCGCCGCGTTAATTCGTTTCGCGATTAATTTCGATTTTAACGCTGGTTAAACAAAAAAAAAGTTTATTTTTTTTCCGGTGTTTCGAGAGATGTGCGTCGTGCGAATGCCGTAGGTAGACTGAAATGAAAAGCGAAGCAACCAGCAGCACGGTGCCGTTGGAGTTGGGTAAATAAGTATATAAGGTCGTCGGCGAGTTTATGTACCTGGGTCTTTTATATACCGAGTTCCCCCCTTATGTATTTTCTGGGTATAGAGAGTAGAAACACGGACGGCGTGCGAGGTTCTCAGTTCTCGGGGTTCGGAAGGTTTCTCTTGCTATCTTCTTCTTCGTTTATGTCGGTCTCGTTCCCGCTCACTCACTAAATATCGTATCGCTTTATGAACGTTGAGGAAAACGCCCCGAAAATCACTTTTTTAACACTCAATACATCGTCACAGAGAAACGTTGACGTTTTCGGAGTTTGAAACACATTGTGACAGTTGGATACGTAAATAACGTGAAGTTAGAAATTGATTAAAAAAAATGTTTATAACAAATTACCTAATTATTAATTAATTTCATTTTTATAACGACCGATTTAATTTAATGAAATGAATCGATTAAAAAAAGAAAATTAATTATATCTTAACAGATTAAAAATTCCCCAATTCAATGAAGTTGGAAAATCTGGGGGAAAAAAGTTACTAAAAAAAATTTTTTTTTGATTAAACCTTTTTAATTATTTAATTTTCTTGTTTTTTTATATCGATTGGGGTCGATCTTTTACAATATCAAAAGCATCAAATCAAATTTTGAATTAATTATAGCTTAAAAATTAAAAATTCCCCAATTCAATGAAGTTGGAAAATCTGGGGGAAAAAAGTTACTAAAAAAAATTTTTTTTAATTAAATCTTTTTAAATTAATTAATTTTCTTGTTTTTTTATATCGATTGGGTCGATTTTTTGCATTATCAAAAGCATCTCATAAAATTTTGAATTAATTATAGCTTAAAAATTAAAAATTCCCCAAAAGAATGAAGTTGGAAAATCTGGGGGAAAAAAGTTACTAAAAAAAATTTTTTTTGATTAAATCTTTATAAATTATTTAATTTTCTTGTTTTTTATATCGATTGGGGTCTATTTTTTGCATTATCAAACACATCAAATAAAATTTGATGTTTAATTAAAATCATTTTAGAAATTCTCTGAATGTAGTGACGTGACGTTTAGAAATGTCAAACGTCAATTTTTTGAAGGTGAAATGTCCGGTTAAAAATCAAGTTTAATCTTTAATTTTAGTGAAAATAAATGTTTAAAGACTCAAGATAAACCTTAGTTTGCTCAAGAAGATGTTTTACCTTGTGTGATGTGGAGTTATAACCCCAAATCGATGTTATTTCTAATTACAGACTCATCATCCTTAAACAACACGGTTTTTTAGGGTAAGTAAATTTAATCTTTATAAAGTGCGCAATAAAAAATCTATCTTTGCGATTTCGTGATATATATGTACCAACCAACAGACACTCTTTTTCAATCCCTGTGGTTCCGGATTTCATACACATCTTTAATTAACTATTGTTCTGAACTGGATATGTTCACTGCGTCCTTTCTGGTAACGTCGCCGTGCTTTTGTTGAATTGTTCTCCTTTTTCTTTATTTTATTTTTAAGCTTCGTTTCCGTTTAGAAAAATCTTTTTGTATGAAAAACGTACCATATTAACCAAAAAAGTATCATAAACGGTTTAATGTTATCACTCATTGTTACTAACTTAAAAGGCGTTAAAGTTAAAATCATGAATTTGACTTAATCGATGTCAAATTAGGTTATAACTCAAAAATTAATTGAGATGGAGGAAAGCTTTTTATATGAAAAAGTTTCCATGTTAACCTAAAAAGTAGCTTTTATAAACGGTTTGATGTTATCTCTCATTGTTGCCAACTTATACGATGTTAAAGACAAAACCTTAAATTTGACGTAATCGATATCAATTTAGGTTATATCTCAAAAATTAATTGAGATGGAGAAAAACTTTTTATATGAAAAAGTTTCCATGTTAACCTAAAAAGTAGCTTTTATAAACGGTTTGATGTTATCACTCATTGTTACCAACTTATACGATGTTAAAGACAAAACCTTAAATTTGACGTAATCGATGTCAAATTAGGTTATATCTCAAAAATTAATTGAGATGGAAAAAAACTTTTTATATGAAAAAGTTTCCACATTAACCTAAAAACTATCTCTCATAAACGGTTCGATGTTATCATTCATTGTTACCAACTTATATGGCGTTAAAGTTAATGTCTGAAATTTGACGTTTTCGAGGTTAATTTTACCAATTTAGGTTATAACTCAAAAATTAATTGAGATGGAGAAAAACTTTTTATATGAAAAAGTTTCCATATTAACCTAAAAAGTATCTTTCATAAACGGTTTGATGTTATGACTCAGTGTTACCAACTTATACGGCGTTAAAGTCAAAATCTTAAATTTGACGTTTCTGGGATTAATTTTTTTAATGAATCAGACGAACTAAAATAGATGGGGGAAAACTTTTTATACAAAAAACGTTGTATATAAACGCCAAAAATATATTTTAAATTCATTTTTATCCCATCGTTTTTTCCTGCCAACTTATAAGGTGTAATATTTGAAAATCATGAATTTGACGTAATCGATATCAATTTAGGTTATAACTCAAAAATTAATTGTGATGGAGAAAAACTTTTTATATGAAAAAGTTTCCATATTAACCTAAAAAGTATCTTTCATAAACGGTTCGGTGTTATCATTCATTGTTACCAACTTATATGGCGTTAAAGTTAATGTCTGAAATTTGACGTTTTCGAGGTTAATTTTACCAATTTAGGTTATATCTCAAAGATTAATGGAGATGGAGAAAAACTTTTTATATGAAAAAGTTTCCATATTAACCTAAAAAGTATCTTTCATAAACGGTTTGATGTTATGATTCATTGTTGCCAACTTATACGGTGTTAAAGTCAAAATTTTAAATTTGACGTTTTTGGGGTTAATTTTTTTAACAAATCAGACGAACTAAAATAGATGGGGGAAAACTTTTTATACAAAAAACGTTGTATATAAACACCAAAAATATATTTTAAATCCATTTTTATCCCATCGTTTCTTCCTGCCAACTTATAAGGTGTAATATTTGAAAATCATGAATTTGACGTAATCGATATCAATTTAGGTTATATCTCAAAAATTAATTGAGATGGAAAAAAACTTTTTATATGAAAAAGTTTCCACATTAACCTAAAAACTATCTCTCATAAACGGTTCGATGTTATCATTCATTGTTACCAACTTATATGGCGTTAAAGTTAATGTCTGAAATTTGACGTTTTCGAGGTTAATTTTACCAATTTAGGTTATATCTCAAAGATTAATTGAGATGGAAAAAAACTTTTTATATGAAAAAGTTTCCATATTAACCTAAAAAGTATCTTTCATAAACAGTTTGATGTTATCACTCATTGTTACCAACTTATACGGTGTTAAAGTCAAAATCTTAAATTTGACGTTTTTGGGGTTAATTTTTTTAATAAATCAGATGAACTAAAATAGATGGGGGAAAACTTTTTATACAAAAAACTTTGTATATAAACACCAAAAATATATTTTAAACCCATTTTTATCCCATCGCTTTTTCCTGCCAACTTATAAGGTGTAATATTTAATAATCATGAATTTGACGTAATCGATATCAATTTAGGTTATATCTCAAAAATTAATTGAGATGGAAAAAAACTTTTTATATGAAAAAGTTTCCACATTAACCTAAAAATTATCCTTCATAAACGGTTCGATGTTATCACTCATTGTTACCAACTTATATGGCGTTAAAGTTAATGTCTGAAATTTGACGTTTTCGAGGTTAATTTTACCAATTTAGGTTATATCTCAAAAATTATTTGAGATGGAGAAAAACTTTTTATATGAAAAATATTCCATATTAACCTAAAAAGTATCTTTCATAAACGGTTTGATGTTATGACTCATTGTTGCCAACTTATACGGTGTTAAAGTCAAAATCTTAAATTTGACGTTTTTAGGGTTAATTTTTTTAACAAATCAGACGAACTAAAATAGATGGTGGAAAACTTTTTATACAAAAAACGTTGTATATAAACACCAAAAATATATTTTAAATCCATTTTTATCCCATCGTTTCATCTTGCCAACTTATAAGGTGTAATATTTGAAAATCATAAATTTGACGTAATCGATATCAATTTAGGTTATATCTCAAAAATTAATTGAGATGGAGAAAAACTTTTTATATGAAAAAGTTTCCATATTAACCTAAAAACCATCTTTCATAAACGGTTCGATGTTATCATTCATTGTTACCAACTTATATGTCGTTCAAGTAAATGTCTGAAATTTGACGTTTTCCAGGTTAATTTTACCAATTTAGGTTATAACTCAAAAATTAATTGAGATGGAGAAAAACTGTTTATATGAAAAAGTTTCCATATTAATCTAAAAAGTATCTTTCATAAACAGTTTGATGTTATGACTCATTGTTACCAACTTATACGGTGTTAAAGTCAAAAACCTTAAATTTGACGTTTTTGGGGTTAATTTTTTTAACAAATCAGACGAACTAAAATAGATGAGGGAAAACTTTTTTTACAAAAAACGTTGTGAATTAACACCAAAAAGATATTTTAAATCCATTTTTATCCCATCGTTTCATCTTGCCAACTTATAAGGTGTAATATTTGAAAATCATAAATTTGACGTAATCGATATCAATTTAGGTTATATCTCAAAAATTAATTGAGATGGAGAAAAACTTTTTATATGAAAAAGTTTCCATATTAACCTAAAAACCATCTTCTCATAAACGGTTCGATGTTATCATTCATTGTTACCAACTTATATGGCGTTAAAGTTAATGTCTGAAATTTGACGTTTTCGAGGTTAATTTTACTAATTTAGGTTATAACTCAAAAATTAATTGAGATGGAGAAAAACTTTTTGTATGAAAAATATTCCATATTAATCTAAGAATTATCTTTTATAAACGGTTTGATGTTGTCATTCATTGTTACCAACTTATAAGCCGTTAAAGGCAAAATCTTAAATTTGACGTTTTTGGGGAAAATTTTTTGAATAAATTAGACGAACTAAAATAAATGTGGGAAAACTTTTTATACAAAAAACGTTCTATATTAACACCAAAAATATATTTTAAATCCATTTCTATCCCATCGTTTCTTCCTGCCAACTTACAAGGTGTAATGTTTGAAAATCATGAATTTGACGTAATCGATATCAATTTAGGTTATATCTCAAAAATTAATTGAGATGGAAAAAAACTTTTTATATGAAAAAGTTTCCACATTAACCTAAAAACTATCTCTCATAAACGGTTTCATGTTATGACTCATTGTTGCCAACTTATACGGTGTTAAAGTCAAAATCTTAAAT